ACTGGCAAAACTGACCTTTTAGAATACGAATTAGCGTAAACCGAGGCCACCACTGGATTCCTTGGGCGATTTTGGATCTAATTCACCAATAAAAATAAATCGACTTCGACGTCCTTGACGGAGATAATTTTTTGGTCAGCCGATTTCTCCGAAACGGCTGAATGGATTTCTTCGTTTGAGGGCTCTACGGATGGCGGAGATACAGGGCTTTTCAATGGTGTGCCTTAGACGCTTTTTAATTAATGGTTGATTAGTAACTTTTTGTTTGACGCCGTCTCATTTTTGGAACACAACCTTTGCGTGACCGACTGCTAGCGGAAACCATACTGCTATCCCAGGATAAGTGTATAATATGATCACTCTAATTAGTTGTGCTTCCAAATTAGTAGTACATTGGCACTTTAGTGACGCCACAAAAATGAAATGTTTTCAAGTAATGAAAAAGATCGGTTTTGGACAGATCTCGACGATACCTTTGTTCCAGTATTGTGATTTGCTATTTGGACCGGTAGTTTTCACAAAACGGGCTTACATTTTGCGATCCAATCTAAAAAACCATTATTAGTCAGGGTCCACCTAATTAGAGTGATTGCCTATTGAATTTTCCAATCTTTTTTACTGCCAATGGTAGACGACGGTAACCAGCAATCGCCTGTTAATCCTCTTCGTCTTCCACATTCTCCACCACGGCTCGTAATTCCGGATAGTTTTCAAGGATCCAAGCATGAATCTCCGGGGTACCATTGTTGCGAGTCAGCAAAGCTGTTTTTTCGGTGCACTTAAGCTTGAATTGAGAGTGCAGAAATAAGAGGCACTCAAAATGACCTTCCTTTGCAACAGCATCAAGAGCAGAACAAGAGCAGCCTTCTGGCCGGTGAGAGTGTAGCCATCGAGCAACTCCCAGGCGGTGTTTTTTCACTTGGTGCAGGCCTCATCTCGATTTCTGTGCAACCACTTGACGATACCCAACGAACCCCGAGCAGCAGCGCTATCCATCGCCTTGGTCGTGCATCCCTCCGAGCGATTGGAATGAAGCCACTTAGCGATACCAAGGTGACCATTTGCAGCTGCTCCATCCATAGCTTCAGTCGTGCAACCAACGTTTACATTGTTGTGAAGCCACTTGACCACCTCGAGATGTCCATTTGTAGCAGCGCCATCCATAGCAGCCGATGTACATCCTTCTGAGCGTTCGTTATGTAGCCATTTGACCATTTCCAAGTGCCTACCCGTTGCTGCAGCATCCATCGCGTCAGTCGAACAGCCCTCTTGTCTATTTTGATGTAGCCACTGCACAACATTCAAAGAGCCATTCGCTGCGGCCTTGTCCATTGCTTTTTGCGAGCATGGCGGCCCTGTTTGATTGCTGGGTCGCTTTCTTTTACGTGCGTTCCCATTCAGAGAGGTAGTAATGTCGAGTCCATGAAAATACTTCAGAACATCGAGATGCCCGTTACCAGCTGCAGCATCCATTGCAGTAACTAGAACACCGTTCTTGATTTTCGTTTTGGAATCAAACAAATCGACGCCATACTCCGAATAAAGCCACTTAACTACGTCAAGGTGGCCATTTCTTGCAGCTCCGATCATGGTTTGTGCTGATACCACCGCAGCTTCCCTCCACGTTCCATGCTCCCAGGCCGCTACTCGGGGCTGAACAGCAGAGGATCGTGGCCTCGAAGTAGATTTCTTTTCTTTTTCACGTAAGAATTTCGCGACGTGAAGGTGTCCATGGATGGCTGTTGTGTGAATTGCAAAGCGAACCTCGTCAATGCGCTGCCCCCCACTGTGATCAATCAGCCAACGAACGACTTGAAGGTGGCCGTTCCCAGCGGCCTTGACCACTAATCCTACGACTTCTTCAAACTCTACCTGCTTAAGTAGCCATTGCAAGACTGGAAGGTTCCCCTTCTCTGCAGCCTCGTCCGCCACGTTGCCCTCAGTAGGCCAGTTAGAACCGTTCTCTATGAACTGCTCAGCCAAGTGAATGTCCCCATGTCTCAATGCTGCCTCCGTTGCAACTTCCAAGTTGTACCAAACATCAGGATAGTGATGATTGAGCCACCACACGGCGTCGTGGCGACGACTCTGGGCTGCATATACCATAGTAAAGCCTCCCCACTTCATCCGTGGGTTGGGTCGCTCGCTTGGTTCATTATTTGGCTCATTCAAATTAAAATAATGAATTCGTCTGCGTCTTGGTCGGTCCGTGTTATTTTCGTGTAAAAATTGCAAAATCTTCATCATATTTTCGCCCGGAACGTCCCCCAGAGCGCGATCAACTTCTACGCGGCATTCCTTAAAGTGGTCCAAGAGCCACTTGCCAATCTCCAAATTGCCGCGATACATGGCCTCATTCAGCGAATCAGAGAAAATAAATTGCCTGTAGTGAGGATCGCTGCGCAGATATCTGCGTAATGTCCATCTTCCGTCCGAAATATTACCATCGTTCGTGCAAATTTCACAACTATCCCAGATGCGCTGGAGTAGCTCCACAGACTCCAGTTTGCACGCTTCATTAAGTGGTAGCTCGACTGAAGAGTCCAGGAAGACGGACACGGTTGTGGCCACGTGAGCGAGGGACGTGAGCTCGGGCTTAGAGCGGAAAAGCAAGTCCACAGCGAGCAACAGCGATACCATTAGCGTTTTGAATAACAGAGCCTTGAATGTCTGGGTTTAATGGGTTTAATGATGTCACCCATTTTTTATCCCGCTTTTTGGGTTTTGCTCAAGCAAAAAAAAAAAGTGCTTTTGAAGCCACCTGTTCTTTCAGGCATCACTCAGACAAATCTGCCCCATTTCGAGGAAAAATGGCGAGGATACTTTGGTCAAGAAGCTAAACAATAGCTTTGATAGCATGCGACGATCAATACTCGCTGCTGATAACCAGAACTCTCATTCTTTGTTTTGCGCTCCTGCACCCAAGTAGCCTCTTACCCAGTGAACGCTGATACCTTCGGATCATGACCAAGTTCTCAATTTTTGCGCTGCTCGTCGTGCTCCTCGCTGTTATGAGCTGTACTCAAGCCGATGATGCGGTCCCAACCGATTTGGAGGAAGTCCCGGCCGGAGTGACACTTGTCGGAGGCGAGGAACCCATTCCTGAAACAAGCTCGGAACAATTCATCGTTGGGCGCGGTCGGTTCTTCCGTCACCGCTTCCGTTTCCCTTACGGCGGTGGTTTCCGCTACGGATGGCGCTACCCTCTTGGCTGGTGGGGCAAGTTCGGTCGTCCCATCTACGGACCAGGCTGCCTGTTTGGTCGTCCTATTGGAGGCTTCTTCTACTGTTAAATGGCGGTGAAGTTTCCAGCGAAGCCAGATGCATATGAATTGCCAGGACTGACAGATCGTTGACGGCATTTGCGATAATCAACATGATCTTTGATGATTAACATGCCTTTAAAAAAAGTAAAAGCGTGCTATGAATTATAGTTTGTGTTTGTGCTGGATTCCATATATCGCGCGCTGCGTTACTAATAGCTAAGCTAGTGAGTTTTTTTTTTTTTTTTTTTTTACTGAATCAACAGCATATCAGCGAAGGATTCAATTCGTACGCGTGGCAAAACGCGACTATAAAGGAAATCTCACTCGCTCAGAAATTGATCAAGTTCTCCTTCGCGGGAACACTGCCAGTCGGCCTCTATAAAAAAGTTTATCTATTCATTTTTAAATGATTTTTTTCTGGGTTAAGAAACACTTTAGTGGTGAAAGCAACAAGGTTAATTCGGCATCGCAGTATGTACCAATACGCCAGTAACGGCTCCCAAAAGCTTTAATGTGGTGGGATGGTCCTTACGGGTATATCAGTTTGGATACCAGTATGGTAAAGGCTCTAACCTGGCACCCAAAAAATTAAATGTGATGGGATGGGCACTATCGGTATATCAATACAGATTCCTGTAGCACCAAAGCGTAATATTTTTCTTGAGTGATACGAGGAGAATCGCTTAGTTCTATTGCTGACATCAAGACAAAAAGAATCACCTATTCATTACGGAAAATCATCAGTATCATAATTTACAGAAGAAGTTTTTACTAAACCCACTTACCTAAAACACATTACTTGCTTTCAAACTCAGTTTTGCTCAGCTAATTATCATTTCTCAAATATACACTGGCATGAAAAAAAAACTGCTACTATAAATTATTTAATCGAACTGAAATTGGGAAACGCTCTAGAAAACGATATAGAAAGCAGACAGGGCCGCCATGCTCGCAAAAAGCAATGGACAAGGCCGCAGCGAATGGCTCTTTGAATGTTGTGCAGTGGCTACATCAAAATAGACAAGAGGGCTGTTCGACTGACGCGATGGATGCTGCAGCAACGGGTGGGCACTTGGAAATGGTCAAATGGCTACATAACGAACGCTCAGAAGGATGTACATCGGCTGCTATGGATGGCGCTGCTACAAATGGACATCTCGAGGTGGTCAAGTGGCTTCACAACAATGTAAACGTTGGTTGCACGACTGAAGCTATGGATAGAGCAGCTGCAAATGGTCACCTTGGTATCGCTAAGTGGCTTCATTCCAATCGCTCGGAGGGATGCACGACCAAGGCGATGGATAGTGCTGCTGCTCGGGGCTCGTTGGGTATCGTCAAGCGGTTGCACAGCAATCGAGATGAGGGCTGCACCCCAGTAGCATTGGCTTGTGCAGTACGAGAAAGGAAACGCCACCTGAAAGTTGCACAGTGGTGGAACTGATTCGCCGTCGTGGTAGTCGAAAATTATACGTGTGTATCCTTGAAAACTATCCGGAATTCCGCCAAGATAGGGAGGATCAATAGTATAGATCAATTGACGGCTCTTACGAGAAGGATATCCATGGTGGAGTGACGTACGAATCAAAACGCCAAGTTATAATAATAATACAAAGTCGTGCTAAAGCTTTCAGAAAAATCGCACATTGCGAACCGGCAACTCACATCAAAAAGGCTGCTGAACACTCACCGTACCATGACTCAATAGTAGTTTCATCAGTGCCGAACACCCACTCTTATAAAATCGAAAAAAAAAAGGTGAAGGCGTACTACAAGTAAAAATGCCGACGAGCATCTGCCCAAGTGCCAATGTATCAAAGTTCTTCACAGCACCAATGGAGTACTAGACTCAGTAGAGGATATATATAAAAATGTAATAGCTATCCTAGATTTTGAGAAAGAGTGGATCATCGAATGAACTTTGGTCATCATGTCCTACTTCGGCTAGTTGGCCGCTTCAACGCGCATCATTAGCGGGTTTTTCATCGTCAAGGTGAGATCAACGATCGGTTGCACGTCCTGCCCAGGCTCTTCGGCCAGTGTAAACTGGCTCACAACGGTTGCGATCACCATCTTCAATTCCACCATCGCCAGATTCCGTCCGACACACAGACGAGGCCCAGTACCAAACGCCCAATTCTTAGCAGGTGGATCTTGAAGCAATTTTCCCGTTTCTTCGTCAAGGAACCTCTCAGGCATAAAAGACAACACATGTAAACCCCACACGCTTGCAAGGCGTCCAGCCCCATAGAGATACAGGAAAACATCAACACCAGCGGGAATAAAGGTACCGTCCTTCAAAACAGTATCGCAAGCGCAATGATACGGAATCACAGGAACACTTGGAAAGAGGCGAAAAGTCTCTTGAATGGTGGCTTCCATGTACGGCAAATCCTGAATTTCTTCGTAAGTCGGCACATAGGTGTCTGATTCTTTGAATTTTGGCATCTTCGTCAAGATTTCATCGCGAAGTTTCTTCTCAACTCGTGGGTTGAGACTCAGCGCATGAAACAACCACACTAATGTGTCTGCAGTCGTATTTCTTCCAGCTTCTAGCCCCGTCAAAACAATGTCTCGCACTAGAGTGGGAGCAATGTCCTGGTCATTATTCAATAGAATGGTTATGATGTTCTTGCAAGTACGATGGTTCTCCGTTGCGCTCTCTTTGAGACTCGAGACCTGTTCCATGGCGTCCATGATCAAATTAACTATGAATTCATTCATCTCACCGATAGCGTCACGGAGTCGTCGTTCACTCCCAATATTCAGCCATCGCATGGGTTTCCAGATCCACGTTGGCGTTGAAAAACGCTTGCTCGTGAGATGATTCGCTTCATCAAATGCTATCTCAAACGGGTGTTCTTCACCTGAGGTTAACAGGTTCAACTTACAGCCTAAGCCGATCTCCACAAACGTGTCAAGGGTAAATTGACGTATTAGCTTGTTCATATCGAACGTTTGCTTGGCTCTACTCGCCTCGTTCAGCACGTTTCGTAGTACCAACACCTTCTCTTGAACGACTGGAGTTATGTACTCACGTAGCGCTCGAGGGGTGAGGAGATTGACCATGACTTTGCGATGGAACTTCCACTGTTCCCCATTGAGTAGTACAATGTTTTCACCCAGAAAGTCGTCGAAAGTGTCACGAACACTGTCACTCTTGATGAAATTTTTGTTTTGAGTTTTCAGAATTTCTTCAAAGTGTTCTGGTCTCGAGACGTACACGACGTCGCTTTTTCCAACAAGATTCAGAGCGAACGGTTGACCATCACGTTCCAGGCTATGACCAGTTACCCACTCATGGTAGCGACCAACGTTCATAGCGAACGACAACGTGTTCCCGAATATCGGTATACGCGAAGGCAAATACAGCGAACTAGAAGCATTCTTGGAAGCAGATTTGGTGCTGAAGCCGAGCATCACGAAAGCGGAAATCAACACCAACACACAGGCTAGTGTGCCGATGTTTACCGGTAAATTGCTGTCCACTTGGAGAGGGGAATCCATTGTCGTCGGGAATATTGGAATGTACTTAGCTGAGCTCAGGCGTCCTCCGCGTCGAATTGGGAAATGACGGGTGCTGTTGGCTTAACGTTTAAAAGCAACGGATAGCGCTTTTTCGAAGTCGTTAAAAGAGTCGAAGAGCGAAGACAGATAGGATAACGCTTTTTCTTGTTTTTTTTTTCGACATTCGAGGAGCGTTGAATTTAAAAGAAAAATAGATATTTTTTCCTTGTTCTATTTCTTACTTCAACTTATTGTGTGGGCCACATATTGTTTTAGAATTGATCATTTCCACCAATCATACATTTTTCACGAACATATCCACCAATCGCATCTCAGTGGGTGATGGGCAGCCAACAACAATAATGGGGTAATGGATGCATTTATCCAAACAATCCGATCAGGGCTCATTTTCGAATCTGCTTCACGTTAGTCAAACGATCTCTCTCAGCTGTCCTCGGGTAACCTTTCCGTTGTTCTTCTCTGTGGTTGCATGGTCCTCTGTGTGTACTGACATCCAATCAGCGAGGGGTGCCGATTGCCAGCCATGGACCAGTTCCATGCGCTGACCGGCTGAGAATCAAACCCTTAGAACCTGATCCGGGTCATTCCGGCGGAGGGACTGCTGTTGTTCTTGTTGTTAATGTGTTGTGTCACTTCCTGTTGTCAAAACCTACTTTTTCGATTCCAGAACCAACTCAAGTAAGCAAAACGATTGTGAAGTTTTTCAATTATTGTTACTTGTCCAATTCACAATAATTATTGTCATTCCAGCTTTTACGATGCTCGCCAGTGGAGTGACCTATGGCGTGATGATCGCCACGTTGGTGGCAGTAGCAGCGTACGCCATCATCGTCAGCCGCAGGATGGAAATCGATTCCGTCAAGAACTTCGTGAGGTACGGCATTGTTTTATTACAATAATTGAAATAACTTTATTTCGTTTTTGACAATAATTTAATATCTCTTCACAGTGCCAAGAACTCGACGACGTCGCTGCGACTCGCCTGGTGTTTCTTTTCAGCTGGAATGGGCTCGTGGACATTGTTTTCGTTCCCTGCCATCGGGGTGGACGCTGGTTCGTGGGGTGTCATTGGGTACACCATGTCCGGAGTTTGTGGCATGATGGTGCTAGCAGTTGTGGGTCCCTTCACCCGCTCAGCACTTGGTGAGAACGTCACAATGACAGACGTTGTAGCCCAACGCTTCGGCTACATTATGCAGGTGTACATCAGCTTCATCTCGGTCTTCTACCAGTTTATTTCACTGGCTTCGGAGCTCACCTGTGTGGCTCAACTCACGACCATGTTGTCACCGAACGCTCATTCCTTGATTCCTATCTTGGTGGTCGTATTCCTGACCAATCTGTATCTTCTGATTGGCGGTCTTCGTGCCAGTTTGGCGACCGATGTGTGACAGGGTATTGGAGTTATCGCCTTACTTGCCGTGGTGTGTATCGCCATGTGCTTCCACGTGTCCATTCCGGACGGAGCGTGGTCAAGAACTAACGTCGCTGCGTTCACCGTCGAAGGATTCGAGACGTTAGTGACGCTGGTGATTGCTGTCACAGCATCGAATCTGTTCTTCACGGGCTTCTGGCAACGAGTCTATGCTGCATACGACGACCATACGCTTCGTAAAGCTGCGTTCATGGCTTGTGGAATCATTATCCCGTTCACTGTGGCCTTGGCGCTAGCTGGTATGGTGTCGTATCTGGCGTATCCAGACGGAGATTTATTTTTCGCGATTTTAATCGACATGGGCCATGGCTGGGAAGTGCTGATCGTTATCGTCATCGCTATGTTGGCCAGTGGCGTGTCCGACTCGATACAGATCGGGATTGCGGCGGAGCTGACGACGTGCTTCCCGCAGTTATCGCTTTTGCACGCACGTATTATTGTTGGTAAGTAATTTGTTTTTTTTACTGATTGTTTTTCTAAAATATTTTTCTGACAAGTAAGTAATTTATTTTTCTGTACAGCGTTGCTGAACGCGCCAGCTATCGTGATCGGCTATCAGCAGTATGACATCCTGAATTTGTTCCTGATCGCTGACTTGCTGTGCACTGGTGCTGTTGGTCCGATGTTGCTTGGGGTCTGGAAGCGTGCTACTCGCACGGGTGCACTGGCTGGGAGTGCTGCTGGGCTGATCACCATCTTCATCTGCGGCGTGATTGCACAGGGAAAGTTTGTGGGTGGATTCAACTGGTTTATTCTACCCGAGGGACTCTACTCGCAGAACAGCATGATCACATTTATCGTAACGCTCGTCATTCCGCCTGTCGTGACTGTGATCGTGTCGCTGATGACACCCAAGCGTATCGACGAGACCGAAGACAGCTATCTGCTGGAGAACTCCCCCATCCATTCGAGCAAGGACTAATATTCATCGGCATCCTGCGCACGAATTGGGACGGATCGCACGTTCCAAAGCTCAGCAAACTGTTTTACAACTGCTTAAGTTGGGTGATTTTTCATCATCCACATTTCATTCGCTTTTCATGTTTTCGTGAGCAATGAAAATTGGTAACAAGCAGTGAATCACCTTCTGTCAAACTTTGTTGTCTTCAAGGCTAATACAACGTTCCAGGCAACTAAGGCCATTCTTCGAAGCAGTTGACATATGCCAGGTGAAGGCTGAAATTTACCTGTTGTTATTCGTCCCTATCGCGCTACAGCGGTTCAGCACGGGGCCATGCATCCGAATTCTGCGCTACGAACTCGCGGAATGTACGCGGCTTGTGTCCCACTAACTTCTCCATAACCTCGATCTCCACCCCATTCTGCGCACCAGCCTCCAACGCTCGCATCACTCCAAGCTCCTCCTCAATAGCATCTCCCGGTACTCCCCGTACCCATCGCGCAGGTTGCACCGCCCACAACGGAAAATTCGAGTAGTTCACTTTGTCGCCAATTCCCTCTGATAAAATCTTCGCAACCTCCTCAAACGTCAACGCCTCAGGTCCCGTCAAACTATACAGACCTTCATTCATTCCATCATTCTGCTTCACTAACACCGCGCTCAAACTTTCCGCCACATCCAACGGATGCACAAATGCAATGCGTCCTCGTTTAACACTCATGGAAAGCGTCCGCCCACACACTAAGTCGAACAACCGACCTCGCAGGAACGCGTCCATCCCCGTAGGGGCTCGCAGAATAGTCAAGTTTTGAGCCCCATTATTTCCACCCCCAAACTTTCCCTTCAATTCCTTTTCCAGCTCAAAGTTGGCTCTCCCCGCAGCAGAAGGAGAACGCTCTTCCACGAACCCTTCAGTCCACGATAACTTGACAACCCGATGGTCTTTGGACACGAGAGTTGCTAAGTTCTGCTCGCATTGGAGCCATTCGTCCGATGGGTTACTCGGTAGATTAATGACGCCGTCTCCGCAGCCACTGGCGGCGAATATAGCCCCGTCACATCTTCCTAAGGCTTCTTGGAGATCTTTTGGATCGGACCAGTCGGGAATCGACTCGTGTTCGTGGGAGGCCAATAGATTGGGGTAGTGAAGACGGAGAGAACGCTCGAGGTCCCGGGAATTGGACGAGATGAGGAACCGGACGCGAGGAGAAGCAGAAGAAGAGAGAGATGACGTGAAGTGGAGCAGCGAGGACGCGAAGGATAGCGAACGGCGCGTTACGAGCAGGAGCAACGTCGACATCTTGAAGAATGAGGATATGTACTCATTCAAGTGTGAACAAGGACAAGACATCCTCAAACTAACACTGTTGCGTATATAATGTACTCAAATTATCTTCGAAGGTCGACCCGCTTCAGCTGCTGCAACCAGCACGTTTCCACTGGAGTAGATGCCACTTGACATTAGCATTTGCGCGATTTCAATATGGTTGTTAGCGAGAGCTCTGATAACGTATGCTGTCATATCCTGTGAAGTAAAGAGTTCTCCGCTGATGAGGAATTCGACTATTTCGAAGTAACCTGTTGCCGCAGCATGAAACAGTATGCAGCTAAAACTGTAGCGTTGAAGCACTGGCGTAGCAGAGAGGCTCTGGTTGAAAAGGAACTTAAACACGTCGAGCTTTCTACTAGCCGCCGCAGGTGCCAACACTGCATTGGACAACACTCCTCACAATTTCAAGGTTTGCATTGTAACTTTTCGACTTGTCGTGACATTGCAAAAGCGAATAACAATTTGTGATTGGTCATCCACTAAAAAGTTATGTTTACAATCGACAGGTGATTGGAAGCAAAACGTTGCCAGTTGCATCCACTCAAAGTGCCAGTCTGTGGCATTTGAGAATTCTCTCTGCATCCGATCGACGCCTTCACCACTTCCGGTACTTGCCCGTTCATTTCTTTCTGTATATCCCTGTGCTCCGTCCTCTTCTGTGAAGTTGCATGCACTGACATCCAACCAGCGAGGGGTGCCGAGTGCCAGCCATGGACCAGTTCCATGCGTTTGGTCGGCTGAGAATCAAACCCTTAGAACCTGATCCGGTTCATACCGGCGGAGGGACTGCTGCTGTTCTTGTTGTTGACCATGCATGTGTCTTCGTATCTGCTGTCCGCTACTCCAACTTCCATTAGGTTCCACCTGGTAAAGCCACATTTTTCGCATCATTTTTCGAGTTACGACAGTGTATCTAACCATTTTCTCCTTGTCATCACCACTAAAGACCTGTCGAGATGCTGGCGAGTGGAGTCACCTATGGCGTCATGGCCGCAACTCTCATCGCCGTCGCTGCCTACGCTATCGTTATGAGTCGACACCTGAAAATCAACTCGGTTAAGAACTTTGTCAGGTGCGTCACAGTTACCTAGCTCTCTAAATTCCCACTTTTCTTAGCACGTTAACGCGTCAACTGTAGCGCAAGGAACTCAACGTGAACCCTCCGTCTGGCCTGGTGCCTTTTCTCGGCTGGTATCGGCGCAGGAGCTCTCTTTTCGTTCCCTCAGATTGGCGTAGATGCTGGATCGTGGGGTGTGATCGGCTACACGTTATCTGGAGTCATCGGAATGATAGTATTGGCACAAGTCGGGCCATACACACGCTCTGCACTGGGCGAAAATGTCACCATGACGGACGTGGTCTCGAACCGCTTCGGCTACATCATGCAGGTGTACGTGGGCTTCATCTCCATGTTCTACCAGTTCATCTGTCTGGCCTCCGAGTACACGTCCATCGCGCAGCTTACAACGATGATGTCACCGAACGCACACCCGATCGTAACGATCTTGATCGTGGCCTTCCTCACGAACCTCTACCTCGTTATCGGAGGTCTTCGTGCCAGTCTTGCCACTGACGTGTGGCAAGGCATTGGAGTCGTCGCTCTGGTGGCTGTGGTGTGCATTGCCATGTTCTTCCACGTCTCAATCCCTGAGGGTGCGTGGTCAAGTACCAACGTTGCAGCCTTCACCACTGCTGGCTTCGAGACGCTGGTGACGCTGGTCATTGCAGTGACGGCGTCCAATCTCTTCTTCACGGGCTTCTGGCAACGTGTGTATGCCGCTTACGACGACAGTACCCTTCGCAAGGCTGCATACATTGCCAGTATCATCATTGCGCTGTTCACGGTGGCACTCGCGATGGCCGGTATGGTTTCGTATCTCGCGTATCCGGACGGTCCTCTGTTCTTCGCAGTGCTTATCGACATGGGACGTGGCTGGCAAGTTCTCATCGTTGTGGTCATCGCCATGCTGTCAAGTGGAGTGTCCGACTCGATTCAAATGGGTCTGGCTGCTGAGCTCACGACGTGCTTTCCCAAGCTCTCGCTGTTGCACGCACGTGTCATCTGTGGTCAGTATAGTGCTCCTTTGTGTTGTGGATGGATGATTGTACTGACTTGTATGTTTATATTATTTTTCTTTAGTGCTGCTTAACGCGCCGGCTATCGCGATCGGATACCAGCAGTACGATATTCTGACGCTCTACTTGATCGCCGACTTGTTGTGCACGGCTGCTGTGGGGCCCATGCTGCTTGGCACGTGGAAGCGCGCTACTCGCACTGGAGCTCTGGCTGGCAGTGCTGCTGGATTGGCCACCATTTTCATCTGCGGGGTGATCGCACAGGGAAAGTTTGTGGGTGGCTTCAACTGGTTCATCTTGCCCGAAGGTCTCTACTCGCAGAACAGCATGATCACGTTCATCGTGACGCTCATCATTCCGCCCGTTGTGACTGTGGGTGTGTCGTTGCTGACTGAACCGAAGACGAACGAAGGGGCCCGAGACAACAGCTACCTGCTTGAACACTCTCCCGTCCAAGAGGCCTCCAAACTCTAAACAGGAGATCTTCTTAGCAGCTTACCACAAGCGCTTGTTTATCATTTCTCAAGTAATGATAAATCACAGCAAAACAAAATCATTCTTGTCATTCTTTTCAATTGTTGCCAAAGCTTTGGGGCTAAAAGTACCAACGGCAAAGTTGCCGAAAGAGAGAAAAGGAAATGGGAAGAGCTGTAACCGTGTACTACGTAGTACTACGCAAGCAGCAGGAATGTGGGAAACAATGCAGAGGATGAAGCTTAACATCACTTGCAATTCTTTTCCGCGACTATGGAGTTGTGGAGGGTAGTGACTCATGTAAACGCGTAACGTGAACGCCTCACAATTAAACTAGTTGCCGACCGAAGACTGTGGAGAATGATAAATCTAGCATGAAGATACCAAAGCCTCTTGTATCTTCAACGCGTACCATTCGCTGTGAATCAAGTGGAGACTTGTTGGGATGGTGACATCTTGACGTCCATCCCAGCGGCTGGAGATCTTTGGATGGACAATCGAAAGTAAAAAAATGCAGCACGGTTGCTATTATTTTACACGTAAAAGCCAAAATGGAACTTGCTACGATAAGGCTGGCGTAGTGGATCTAGTGGATCTACAGGTTGATGCTAGTTACAGAAATTGCTGGACGCCAGCAAGTCGGTGACACACGAAAACAGCAGTCGATCGCCGAATATTTTTTTTTTTCACGCAGAAGACTTCATACACGCTTCTCCGCTGCACCGACCTCGTCACCAACATCACGTCTAATCGAAGGTCACGAGGTGCGAGTCCATGCTGCTCAACGCGATCGCGAAGGCCTGCACTGGTGTGAACGGGTGCGCATAGTCCATCGAGTACACCTGGCGGTCTTGTGTGCGTCCAAACAGCATCAACGTCTTGTCCATATCATCCGGGTGGGACAAGAGGAAGTTTTTCACTGACGCGGCGGCAACTCGACCACCGAAATCCAGGCAATAGGCCTCAAGAGACTCGATCCAGACCGGAGGCTTGTTGATCAGGTGCAATGCACGCGCCGTGTCGGGGCTTTCCACTTGTGACAGGATCGTATCTTCCTTATTTTCAGGTCTCCAGGGCTGCACGGCCCAAGACGGAGCACCGTCCACAGCGCTGTCGACATTCTGTACAGGTGCCACTAGTGGCAATGCAACTCGCATCTGACGAGGAGATTTGCCGAATGTGGCAGCGTATTGCACAGCACCCAGCTCGACGGCCACTTGGCCAGTTGTGTCGTACATTGTGTACTGTGATCCCATGTAGTTCTTGTCCAGTCGGGCAACCGGCACAGGCGCATTCATCGGGTACGCGCCATCTCCGTTCGCCTGGTTCGACACGTCCAGATTTGTGGCAAGCGAGATGACGAAGCTCACCGACATGTCGTACTGGCGACGACGCACTGCAGTGCACAGCAGCGTGTCTGTGTCTTGTGTGTACAGCTCGTAGTTGCCGCCTCCTCGAGTGCGAATGTAACACTGCATCATGAGCGCTTGCGGCGGTGACGGGCTCATGAGGAATCGTGCCAAGAAGGAACTATTAAGTCTGGCAGTGCGAAGCAGCACTTGCCGCAACGCAACATCCGCGGGAGGAGGGGGCTCCACTGGCGCTTGGTCACATGCACTCACGTGGTCTGCCAAATTTGCCTTTTTCATGGTTTCCGAGCAGTAGGGACAGCTCACTTTCATCTCATTTGCCATTCGCTGGGCGTGACGCGACGCCGCCAAAAGTGAAAAGCTGATGGCTTCACGACACATGGGGCACGAGCCGCGTTCACTCACCCAGCGTTCGATGCAGTCCTTGCAGAAGATTTGGCCACAGCAAGTTGCCTCCGTGGCATTGCTGAAAACCTCCTGGCAAATGGCACACTCGAGCATCTTGCGCGTATTCTCGAGCGCCTCGAGCTGCTCGTCTCTCGGAATGGGCTCAGGCGCCGGATAGGCCAACGTGCTGACCAAGTTACTGGCCGCAAGCGCCGAAGCTGCGGTTCTCTGGCCCAAGTGTCGACTCTTAAGCGCCGAGTGGATCTCGAAGAGCATGTCCACCACTTCTCCTACGCTGCGCTGGGTCTCTTCTGGCTCCGCCTCGGGTTCAGGCTGTCCTTCATCCACGTCCATCTCTTCGTGCTGGTTGTCTGGCTCGTTGCTAGCGGGGAAAAACCTGTTTCTTGACGCAATGGGAGCTGCCGTCTCCTCGTCGATCGTCGAGTGACGTTCACTCAGTCTCCGCAAGTCTCTGCTGCCCATGAGATCCACGAGACCTTCGCCCTCTGCGAAGAAACTCGAGACTTCGATGTCCATGTCGAACCGCTTGTGGCGAGGCGTGATGCGCGGACTGCTGCGTGGCGACAGGAGGATCAACTCGCTCAGCGTGCGCGTACGGTGCATCTTGTTGCTGTGCTTGGGCTCCGTCACGACTCGCAGACGGCGCTGCGCGAAGCGGGAGGCGGTGATAGGCGCGGCGCGCGCCTCGCCGCCGCCCGTGCTGCTGCTCGGACTGGGCTCCCCCGCCGAGAGGCTGGGCGTCGGGACGAACGTAGCTGCCATGCTTGGTAGATGCAGAGTGATGGTAAAAAAAAAAGCTCGAAACTCGATACTTCCCCCCGTTAGAAGGAGGAAGTGTAATGAACCGTGGGGGCTCTTGACCTGGAGTGAAGGTCACTGGCTGGCTCGAGCGAAATCCGCAAATGAGTCGGCAACAAAAGCGTCTTGGGCTTTGCTTTTTGGCGTGGTGTTGTAGGACTGTTCTTCTATCGCGCGGCCATAGTGAAAGCAAGTGAACAGTGCCCTTCCCCTCCAGTTCCGTCCTCAAGTGTCGTAACACCGTCTCTTCCACATCCAAGGCACTGAACAGAGCGCGGGGATTTGTATGAGAAAATGTATACAGAGGTACGGAGACATGTTGAAAAAGTCTCCATTTGTTTGGCACTTTGCACTCACGTCCTGCAGTCGATGGAGCTGCTGACCAAGTTGCGGGGCACGGGGCTGGGGCAGCAGCTTGTCCAGATGGCAGAGTCTCTGCTGTCTCTGCTGCTCTACGGCAGTGTGTGCCGCACGTTGAATTATTGCGCTCGCAATGGAGGAAAAGGAGGTGATCGACGGTTTCAGTATGCTGGGCTGATGGGTGAGCCGTGGCAATTGATGCCCTGGCCATTGTGGTCTCTGTCACTCCGACACGGTGGAGAGTGCAGCGAGCACGAAAACACACTCGGTTTTTCGATGCAATTCCGAATAGTGAAACGCTCGATGGCGCTATGTAGTTTGTAGTTGCCACCGCATTATTGCCAGAAGATCACGTACAATGGCTCAGCACCAGTAACTGCATCGTGTCCAAACGAAATGGTAGAGGGACGCAATAATTTTCGAAAAGGAACAAGAGTTCGGCAAATCAGACGATGCCGGATAATTGCCTCCAAATTCCCATACAGCGGCTGAATCCTTGCCGGATAATGCTCCGGACAATCTAGATCATCAGCCTCCACATCAGAACACCTAGAGAGCTATTCCTCTCTTCATCGCGTCTTTGTCTTCTAGTTAGGAAGATGGCGAAATGAGAGCAGGACTGCTTGCGCATCTTTTCGGTACATCGCGTTTCAAAAGTGCAAAGACAAAGACATGCAGGACAATTTTGCCACTTCAACCACGAGTTTTTCTTGGTGTGGATTGACTTGGCTCACCACATCTGCCTGAACAACACGTTATGATACATGTAAAACCAAAAGCTGGAGCAACGGCTACCTGCCACTCAGCTGTATCTTGCTGGATTGCACAACATTGCATTTTGTGCTGGTGGTAAGCAGAACTGCTGCTCTGCTCACTAGGACCGGCTGGCGCTGGTTACGCCGGCTATTGATGCAAGTACTCCGCATCTTGGACATTGCACAAAACGGTGAATTGTAGTGGCCGTTTGGCGACACTGGGTTGACACAGAACAAAACGATGATGATACATCACTCGCTCAGCTGCATTCCGCCGTTTTAGCAAGTGTATTCCAAAATGTACATTCCAAGTTGGAACATGTACATTTGATGGTTTTCGCGAATGCAACAGTCTGGTTCATGCCGTTGTGCCGATCTTTACATGTTGAACAGGCCTCTGATAAAGTACAAGTTGCACTCACGCAAGCCAAAAGATACTTCGCAATATACTTCGAAGTATTAAGATTGAAATGTCTCCAACTGAAAAAAAAATGCGAGTTGACGAACAAGTTTCGGTGTTTCTCATTCAAATCGGCACTTATGCATTTTCAGCGACCTCGTCTGAAAACTCGGCCCTCTCCTTCACTGCTTGGTGCATTTCGTTCGCAGTGAGGCCCATCCGACCGCGCCATAGTTCGTATATCCTCAGCGGATCTTCGTCGTTCATGGCGTCAAGCATCCCCTTCGCCTTGTCTTCTTCGTTGAGCAAGCCAAACCAGTCGCCACTAGGATACACAATGCACGCTGCGGCATAGCGGTGGCCTCCGTAATGGCTCGAAGTCCAAAGATTCAACGGCTTGTTGGCGCCAGTCGCCGAGTTTTTCAACCACTCCAGCAATTCTGGACCTTTGCAACCGCAACGCTCGTCTCTGAAGGCCAGTAACAGGTTCGATATTAGACACCACACATTCTTGAATCAGCGTTTCGATAAAATATCACTAGCGTACCTGGCGGCATGGCCACACACCATCATGTGGTAGGCATTCTCCATTCGCGTGTACTGCAGATTCCTAATTGTGTGCAATAAATATGAGCGCACAATACGAATGTGTTCATCACACAAACTCTCTTACTCTTGCTCCAGCACTGCAGGCAGATCGAGGTCCTTCTCTAGCGACTTACTCACTAGCGTCGAGACTGCATCACCACAACTGTCAGCCATATCAACAACAACAACACCCAACTATTTCCACTTACTCTGCGACGGCAAAACGTTGTGGACACGCACGAAATCCGGGAATACCAAGATGTCGTGTGCGCCTTCTTCCCTCTCAATGGGTTTCTCACTGTTACGTAGTCCACCGCTGCACACGCCTGTGTAGGGGATTGCAGCCGTCACGAGCAGTGGACTCTTCTTCACCTTCGTGATGTCGCCGTCGTAAAGCTTGACCAATGCGGCCATGTACGAGCTTAAAATGTGCTCAGGTGTCCGCTCCAGCTTGGCCGGCCAAGCGTTCGGGTCCGTATTCTCTGGTTCCACAATAACGTAGTGGCGCTGGTACGGCCGAACGGAGCCTTCAATGAACAAGGCTTCGCTCTTCTCCTCGTTTGCAGCGTCACCGCTGGCCGCGCGTCGCTCCGCCCGTTTGGCGCGACGCTCGGCGATCTCCTCGGGCGTCAAACGCTTGCCCATCTGCGGCGCGTCAGTACTGAAGAACACAACGCAGCGGCCAATGGCATGCGGACGTAGAAGACGCGAGGCAGCGGCGCTGGAGCGGGTGGCGAAGGACTTGGCGACGCGATGCATGGCTGGAGGTCAATCGGGAAGTGGAGTTGCCACGCACTTGGTTCTGGGCGTAGCTGCTGGTGGCGTGTGTACACAATTTGTATTGTAATGACGCGCTTGGCATAATCTGAGCGATACTTTGTGTGGCGATAGTCAGGAATGATGGTAGATTATGAACACAAAAGTTCAACACCATACTTCCTGAAAAGGATATATAAGCTTTGGTATGTAGTTGTTTGGATCTGAAGAGTGTCTTCGAGGTTAGAGCTTGGAGGCTTCCTGAACGGGAGAGTGTTCAAGCAGGTAGCTGTTGTCTCGGG